AACTTTTTACTTAACTAGCTTTCAATATCTTTTGATAGGTGGGCTGGCCAAGCTTTGTTTGGCACACTTACACCGGACATAATTGTTCTCACACTTCTGTATAGCATAGCTGGGGTATGCTTCTCTCACTGAATTTCATAGTGAATATATGCTTATTACAGCGTGTGGCTATTACCAATTTACTTTCACCATATGATTTGCAGTGGGGTATTGGCATTGTTAATGACTTCAAAAGTATTGAAGGAGACAAAGCACTTGGACTTCAGGTCTTCTCTTTCTTATCTTTGTGATCACTAAGACTGTTAGTACCATTATACTATCCTTGATGTTTAACCGCCATGATGCTTGAACAGTCACTTCCAGTAGCCTTTGGTGCTGAAACAGCTAAATGGATCTGTGTTGGTGCTATTGATATAACTCAGATTTCTGTAGCTGGTGTGTGACTAAAATATTTCAGAACTACATTTTTAACTTGCTGATACGACTATGAGCTAAATAGTTTTTTAAAATTCCAGCATTTTTGTCTTCTATGAGCTCAAGTCACTATAAATGGCAATTTCAGGTTACCTTCTGGGGGCTGGTAAACCATATTATGCATTGGCTCTACTTGCCTTGATAATTCCCCAAGTTATATTTCAGGTAAAACAATTTCCCAGCTAACTGTTCCCATTTCTTCCCTATTTCCTTGAAATGTCTGTTGATAGAACCAATATTTCTCCACTGCAGTTCCAATACTTCCTCAAAGATCCCGTTAAATATGATGTTAAATATCAGGTAATTTTCTAGACTCTGACTTCATATATATAATTGGAGGGAATATTCTGTTATGAATTGATTAACCTAATCCTCCTATTGAATCAAAAGTGTTGCTTGCGTTTCAGGCAAGTGCCCAGCCGTTTCTGGTGCTTGGTTTGTTGGTTACTGCTCTAGCAACAAGCCACTGATATGGAAGGCAAATAAGATTGGGAGGGTTACTTGAAAAGCTGAATAGCTCGCAGTTCTAAGGAGCAGCTTCATATGTTGATGTAAATTATTAATTATGTGAGCTTTCTCCCCGCGTTAGCCTTCCTAATTGCTTCGGAAGACATGATCATATAAGGCTTCTTGTGCTCTGTTTTTTCCACTCTCATGTTTCTGTAATCTAGAAATAGTTTCTTCCTCTGTAGACCTTTTTTCCCTGTCCTGTCTTCTTCCAGAAAACAGTGAAAAGCAACTATTTTGTGCCTGAATTTTGATTAGGAATAATGAATGATCCTTTTGTTCTATTAAATTCGATAGCTTATGACATCAAGCCCCATGAAAGGGTTAAAAACCACGTGAACACAAAATACAAACATTCACTCAACACGCAAAGGCAACATAATACCAAAAAAAAAAAATTCATAACTCCCACTCTGTCGAAGTTCTGAACTTGGATTCGTCGATATATCTTCCTCCTCGGCTCGTTGGCCTTCTGACTTGTCCATGGTGCTGAGCTCACCTTCCCTGCCCATCTCTCCGTGCCGTCCGTCCCCATCTGCTCCTTCCTCGTGTTCACTCCTTTTTACTGCCCAATTAACTCCTGGTACCCTTCGGGCCCCAGTGCTCCTTCCTCCTCTGACCTCCGTGGCTCTTCCTTACAATACACCATCACCGAAACTACTGCACAAAACCAATAATCCAATGTAAAAGCAGGAAGAGCATGGTACCCTCAGCGAGGTGCTCCTGAGCTTCAAGACTCTTGCCGCCGGTTCCACCGGGGACAACAACCTCTCCCTTCCTTGCCCTGCCATCCAGTTCTTCTCTGTCTTGTTGGAACGACATCTGCTATATAGTATATATATTTTCCACTCTTTTTAACGGGTATTCTTTTGCTTTCTCACTGGTGTAGTGAATGTGTAAGGAATCGAAACTAATAACAGCAGTTTAAATGGTGGGAAGAAATGAGGAAACGATGGACGACACGTAAGATGTCCGACGTGGCGGAGGAGGAGCAGTGAAGCCACGAAATGATGCCACACACGAGTATAGTGTATGACACGTGTCAAACATTTGAGATAAAAATCAGTAATTTTCTCTTTTTGATATTAGATTTGGGCTAAGATTGCAACCCGTCTCTTTTGGGCTACTCCACTTAACTATAAATGATATCGAAACATTGTTTCACATGTCAATTGTAACGAAATGTAAAACAGAATTGGACCTTCTTTACTCATGCCCCAAAGTTTTTAATTGTACTTTGTATATTTTATTTTTAATTAATATTTTTTTATAATTTTTATTTTTGATTAACATTTATTATAATTTAAAATTCATAAAAGACTTTAAAATTATTGAACAAAATTAGGATATAGTTAATAGGTTTGATGGTTAATTTTTGAGTTTTTATTTACGAGTTTTAAATTATAAAAATTATTGATTAAGAGTAAAAAGTTTTAAAAATATTAACCACCGAAAAAATAATGTGCAAGTGTAAATAGGGTTTTGGCCTTTAACGTCATTGGGCCTCGGTCAAATTGCAGGCCATAAACAGATAAACGAAAGGGTCAGAAAAGGAAGGCTGAAATGGCCCAAACATAGTACAATCTGATGACGCGACTTATAGCAAAGCATACACCAAAATTCTTTAATTTATCTGAGGTTAAATGTTAATTTTGGTCCCTCAACTTAAGGTTTTGTGTAATTTTTATCTCTTTATTTTTTTGCACTCTTCTAATCCCTTAACTATAAAAAAATATATTTTTTTAGTCCTTTCGTCGATTAATCCGTTAAGTTTATTTGAATTTGTACATTGACAAAAAATATGTATATATTATAAGTTGAGAGACTAAAAATACATAGATTCAGATAAATTTAATGGATTAACTAATGGAAGTACTAAAAAAGTGTATTTTTTATAATTACGGGATAAAAAATATAAAAAAATTAAAAAATGAAAATTATGTAAAATCTGAAAATTGAGGGACCAAAATTAACATTTAACCTTTATCTGACTTGTTTTTTATCTCCAAAAAAAGGTCTAATTTAACAAATCATCTACTAACTTTCATATTTTTTTCATTTTCATCTTTTATCTTTGGATTCTTCCAAACATGTCTACTATTTTTTAGATTCATTTCAATTTCGTCTAATCTGTTATTTTTTACGGAAAACTTCATATTCTATTAGAGAATAGTTAGTTCTCTAACTATATTTGTTTTGATCTTTTAGTCCTCAAATTTATATTTGCTGTAAAGATAGCTTTTATACTAAAAATTATTGTTTCTTGGCTCTAATACCAGATTTTTCTATGGGTTTTCAGAATTTAACTCAGACTTCTACTGACTAATGAATAGCTGGTATGTTAAGCTCAGTAAGTGTGGAATTGGATCTACTACACTGCTAATAAAGATAATCTTTGCTTGGCCTTTTTTAATCTTTTTAGATCTTCATTTAAATCTGCAATTGTTTGCTTCAACTTTTTGAGATTCTTAGATAGATGATAATCATCTTCAATGTTACTTATTTTTTTAAAAAAATTTATTATTTTATTTCTATAATATTCGCATTGCTGCTTATAAACTATCTTATCTACAACAATTTCTAAAATAATATCAAGCATCTTAAATTATAATGGTTTAATATAAAATGGATTTTTCTATTCAAAAAATAAGAGGTCAGGTATTATTTCCCCATTTTTTCTCATCTCAAAAATAATCTAATGTTAAAGAATAATAAAACTGTCTCTATGCCCACCTTGCTTCCGCATGATAAAATAAATGAGTTAGAATTTTACCTAAAAATCCTTTGGACTAGCCTTTAGTCAAGCAAATGCTTCCTTCGTCCAACCCTTAATGCCAAACTTAGGTTATAATGGGTATCCGGACAGGACAAGTGACTTCACTGCTGCCTCAGTTTCTTTAGGATTCTTCTCATTTTATTTTATGATAGAAATAAAGAAGGATAAAAACACAAGAATTATTCTAAAACATAATTTTATTTCTAAGAAAAAAAAGGGAAAGTTCCCTTTCCTCTTGAAGTGTGTTTATAAATGCATAGTAGAAGGCTTTCAAGTAAGGTATTTGGATATTCAAATGCCTGATACCTCTTACAGCTTATAGGAGGCTTTTTATAACGCTCCTTAGAATCTTTTCTTTCGTCATTGCTGACGATTAAAGTTTACATTATTGTCTGGTGATCTAGACTTACTTCTTGCTTTTACTAAAGCAAATT